CCACGCAGTTGATCGAGTAGGTCGTCTGTGCGCGGTATGGGATATTTGTTTTTTATTGTCTGTTTGTTCAGTGCGCGGTAGTCGATGCACATCCGTAGACTGCCGTCTGGTTTTGGAGTGAAGAGAACTGGTGCGCCGTAGGGAGAGGTGGATGGGCGGATCAGTTGTCTGTCTAGTAGATACTCTATCTGTTTTTTCATGTCTGTCAGTTCAGTCGGACTCAGTCGGTATGGTGCACGTGAGACGGGTTTTGCACTTGGTTCCTCCACGATCTCGTGCTCGTGGGTGCGTGCTGGAGATACGCTTGCAGGTAGATCGTCGGGCATTATATCCTTGTACTGCTCCAAGACCTCCTTCACTGCTCCAGGTAGCTCGAAACTCGGCTTCTCCTCCTCTGCTGCTGCCATAACCAGTGCTAGGTAACCCGTGTTACTCTCGTACACCGTCTGTTCGAACCGTGCCAGTGTCGGTTCAGGTACGTCCCCTATATCCGTCCAGCTTCGCAGTGCTATCCGCTTCCCGTTGTTGTAGATGCAAACCTTGCTGTTGACCCAATCGATCTCGGGGTTGAACCGCTTCAGGAAATCTCGCCCCAAGATAAAATCTAATCCTTTGATGTTGGTGACTGGTAGCTTCGGCTTCCACCTCAACGCACCTATATGCAGCTGCAATGATGCTTCGCCGTGGATAGGAAGCTTTGTACCGTCCACCATGGTTGCTGAAAACTGGGTCTCCTCCGCCTTCTCTCCAATTTTCTCCAATGCTCCGCGGTCACACACCGAGTGAGATGCACCGCTGTCCACCAGTGCCTGGAGGCGTCGCCCATTGCATAACACCTCGAGGAGTAGTGGTTTCTGCTGCGCTGAGTAGCCAAAGAGGGTCTCGTTAATAGGATCATATGGTACATAAAACTTAATACCTTCCCTTTTTCCTATACCTGACTCAGCGCTTTCCAACTTCACCTGGGGGGTAGGAGGATTTTTCCGAGGCTTGTAAAATTTCTCCTGAGCCTGGATGTCTCCTCTAAGCCTTGGCAGCTGTGTAGGCTTCACCTGTCGGCAACGGGGAGCCTTAACACTGTGCTGCGGGGAGAGAATATTAACTCCACAGAACGCACGACCCTTTTCTACGCTCCGTAGTACTTTGCCCAACTTCTCAGGTACCTGAATAATTTCTAAAGGCTTTTTCTTGGCCTCTAGACCTCCCCTGAATTTTTTGAAGGCTTGTAAATCACGAGAAGCAATATTCTTCGTTAGAGCATCTTTATAGGATACTTTTAACGAATTCTTACTTTCGTGGGTGTTCAGCTAGAGTTTCCCGGTCGGTGCAGAGTCTTTTTTCGCGGAGCCTCCATTCGCCTCGGCGATTTCCCCTGATGCCGGCCGGTCGTGACGTTTCAAATTCGCGCCATCTTTTGTCAGAACATTATAGCTTATACATTTGTGTAGGCTGTAGTGGGGTAGCCCATAAGGGGTACAACCCAATTAGGGTTAGTACTTGTACCCAACTGTTTCATAGTTCATTCATTCCATTCTCACTTCTCGTCATGGTAACAGAGCAGGTTCCCGAGTGGGAATACTGCCTAGGGCCCACCACGAACTTTTTTTTCCTGCCCGGAGCGCGCTTAGCTCCTAACCCGAGTAGCACCTTGAGCCGCCTTTGTGGCCCCTATTGGCCGCCCTTACTGCCCCTCGAGCCGCCCTCTACATCACAAAAACCCTATGCCAAGTTTGGTCGAATTTTGATTTCGATTGTCTTCGCGTAAAAAAATCCGTAGCCAATTGGACCGACGGTTGGAGTCATTTGATAGGAGCTCCGAGACACATCTCGCGACAAGGCTTGGCTCGGTTCAAGTTCCAATTTGGCACGCGAGCTTTTCCGGATGACATTCCGACGCAATCCATTTTGTTGCAAATTCGTGACCAATTTATTCAATACTAAATTCTGTTTTTGTTCATTTTGGATTTTGGGGATTTCAAAATTGCATTTATTATTGCGGTTTACAAGAACCATTATTCAGCATGCTAGCAACAATCAGTCTTAGCACCAGGTCAAATAGCCTACGCATTGGCGGGCCTTGAAAGCGCCCGGTGGGCAAGGACGACATCTCCAAGGTCGCCGTCGTCGATGAGGAACTTGTTCGGAAAGACGAACGCACCCATAGCCGGATCGTGGGGGATCCTCCGCTCCACGACAGCAAAATGGATCATCTGTTTGACCTTTTCGCACCACTCCTGGTAGTCTGGCCTGTTCTGCTCTGGCTGGCTACTGATTCGCTTGCGACGCTTATCCTGCAGAAGGGGCCATTCGATCTGCAATGTGGTGTAGTAGGGTTGGGTGGGTGGTTTATGAGGAGGGTAGGTTACGGGTAAATGAGGCAACTGAAAGCGGTGATGCAGTCGTCACTATCTACGTAACTGCAAAGGCCTAATCGACCAGGGATTAGGGTTGAAGTACAGGCAAGGGGTTAAGGGGATGAGGCATGGGGGTACAAACACATATCTACATCCTTACCGAAAACAGGCCCCATGCCACCATGCGGCTCTTGAACTTGGTGAACACCGCCCCGCCCCTCTTGAAGGAGATCTTGAACGCATAAGCGAACAAGGGGTTGCTGAAGGGCGTCCCGGTGGCCTTGTCAAAGTGCCAGTTGAGGGCCCACTGTTCTGTTTTTTGGCAGGGAGGGTATGGGTTGGAAAGGGTTTTGTAGAGAAATCAAGTGGGGGGATGAGTGTCAGGGTGAGCCACATCGCACGGTGATATGTAGCTGCCAACTGGCATATGGTAGGGCATATTGTGTTTTCGAGTTGCACATACCATCTCTGTACTCGGCTATGAGTTGAACGTCATCGAACCAGGTCGTTGGGTGTAGCTCAGTGGGCAGGCTATCCACGAGATGGCTGTAATCAGCAAGGCCCATGCCGGTGTATTTTGCTGGCCTGAGGGTGGAGTTGATAGTTGACCTTGTTGAGGACAGCTGGTGGTTGAAGACTCCCATGGTTGACTTGTCATTGTGCAACCACAGCAGCTTCATTGCCTCGAGCCCTTCTGCAGACAAGTGGACAGAGAACGCTTCGAACACTTCCTCCGGTGCAGGGTAGTACTGTATTTTCTCCGGCGGGTTCAGAAACATGAGCTGAGAGCACACTAAGTAGGCTTTGTTCTGCACAGTGGTGTAAGGTATACAACACGACATGGGAGAGAGAAACCAGCAGTTATGTGGGTGGCCGCGTGACCATGGGATTGTGACTAGCAACACTGTGTGAACTTGCCACGTCACACCCTGCGCCATCCGACACGTCCACCAACAACCCGGCCCATTCTGCCACGTCACACCTCCCTACCACAAGCCACGTCACCCCCCACCCACCTGACACGCCTCGCTTCGTCATGCGCAGTTGTCACGTGTACCTTTTCTAACCGCCACGTCATCCCCAACCCTCACATGCTGCCACGTCACACCCACCTGCATCCGCCACGTCATCCCCAACCCTCACCTTCCGCCACGTCAGACCCTCCTGCATCTGCCACGTCCACCAACCAGCCCCACGTGCCACATCACACCCTCCTGCATCCGCCACGTCCACCAACAACCAGCCCCACGTGCCACGTCACACCCTCCCATCCCATGCCACGTCACCCCCCCACCCACCTGACACGCGTCGCCTCGTCAGTGGCCGCTCCTGTGTACCATTCCAAACCGCCACGTCAGCCCCAACCCTCACATGCTGCCACGTCACACCCTTTTGCATCCGCCAACAACCCGCCCTACTTGCCACGTCACACCCCCACCAAGAGCGACGTCACCCCCCACCCACCTGAAACGCCTCGCTTCGTCATGCGCCGCTCACGTGTACCCTTGTAGGGTGCCACGTCATCCCCAACCCTCACCTTCCCCCACGTCACACCCACCTGCATCCGCCACGTCATCCCCAACCCTCACCTTCCGCCACGTCACACCCTCCTGCATCCGCCACGTCCACCAACCAGCCCCACGTGCCACGTCACACCCTCCTGCATCCGCCACGTCTACCAACAACCAGCCCCACGTGCCACGTCACACCCTCCCATCCCATGCCACGTCACCCCCCCACCCACCTGACACGCGTCGCCTCGTCAGTGGCCGCTCCTGTGTACCATTCCAAACCGCCACGTCAGGCCCAACCCTCACATGCCGCCACGCCACACCCTTTTGCATCCGCCAACAACCCGCCCTACTTGCCACGTCACACCCCCACCAAGAGCGACGTCACCCCCCACCCACCTGAAACGCCTCGCTTTGTCATGCGCCGCTCACGTGTACCCTTGTAGGGTGCCACGTCATCCCCAACCCTCACCTTCCCCCACGTCACACCCACCTGCATCCGCCACGTCTTCCCCAACCCTCACCTTCCGCCACGTCACACCCTCCTGCATCCGCCACGTCCACCAACAACCAGCCCCACGTGCCACGTCACACCCTCCTGCATCCGCCACGTCCACCAACAACCAGCCCCACGTGCCACGTCACACCCTCCCACCCCATGCCACGTCACCCCCCTCCCACCTCTCACGCGTCGCCTCGTTACGCGCGGCTCCTGTGTACCATTCCAAACCACCACGACAGCCCCAACCCTCCCATTCTGCCACGCCACACCCTTTTGCATCTGCCAACAACCCGCCCTACTTGCCACGTCACACCCCCCACCAAGAGCCACGTCACACCCCCCACCAAGAGCCACGTCACCCCCCACCCACCTGAAACGCCTCGCTCCGTCATGCGGCACTCCCTTGCACCCTTTCACACCGCCACGTCATATCCCAACCCTCACCTTTTGCCATGTCACACGCACTTGCATCCGCCACGTTCACCAACAACCCGCCCCACTTGCCACGTCACACCCACCCACCCCATGCCACGTCACCCCCCACCCACCTGATACGCGTCGCCTCGTCACGCGCCGCTCCCGTGTTCCCTTCGAACCCGCCACGTCAGCCCCAACCCCGACCTTGTTGCCACGTCAACCCCAACCCGCCCCATTTGGCCCGCCACATACCGGGAATGGGTTTGTCTCCTGCAACACTAGCACTCGTGCCTTGTCCACGGCGCTCATCAGCGGCGGGGTACCAGCCATAGGCAGGGCTGCCGACCCGCCGGCATAGCTGGCAGGTACTCCACGACGCAGGCCGAGCTGTGCAAACATGGCGTACATCTCAGACCGCAGCGCCTGGAACTCCTCCCGTGTAACAAACTGCTCGTGCTCCTCACTTTCACCTAGGGCACCCATGAGCGGAGGAAAAGGGTGTGAAGAATCCCCCCTCTGGCCAAGGGTATCAACGTCTTCTGCAGCAGTCCCGTGTGCCCTCACACTATCACGCTGGCGGGAAAAGGGGAGCTCAGGGAAGGGATTGGCATAAGTGCCTGCCTGATGCCCGCGCGAAGGACCGGCGATGGGGGAGACCGCCCTGCCCCGGACAGGAGAAGCGTGGAGTTGCCGAAATGGGTACGAGGGTGAGGCGAGTGAGGAGTGCGTGACGGGGACGGGTGGAGGGGATTCGGATTCCTCTCCTCTTGGCGCGCCGGGTGCCGTCGCAGCGACTTTGCTGGGGCCGGCCCATGGCGTGTAGAACCTTGGTGCGCCGGACGAGAGCGGTGTAACACTCGCTCTTCCGGCAGCCTTCGTTAGATGCATTCGTTGCACGCTTAAGGGCGGCCCAATGCCTGTAACGCGAGGGGCTGAGATGTAGAGGGAGTGGGAAAATAAAAATTGGAGTCGATCGGTTTCAAGGCGGGGCCAGACATGCATGCATATTCAGAAAGGTTTGAATCTAGATCGGGTTTAGGGTTGTACTGGTTTGAGACAAGAGGGTTTACCTTGCTTGGCAGATTCGTCAACCTTCTCCTTCCCTGCAGGAGAGAAACAATGTGAATAAAGGGTGTTATTTGGGACGGTTTAGCAGATTGTTTAACACGTCACGCCAGTTGTATTGGACACAATGCTCACCTTTCTGTTGTCCCTTCGGTTTTGGGGCAGCCTGCGCCTTCTCGTTGCCACCTTTCCGCGGGGTGCTTCGGCGCACGCTGCGACGTTTACCGGCAGGTTCCTTCTTGCCGGTACCCACTCGAACCCCTTTGGCGCGGCCACCCTTTCCTCCTCCATCCCCTTTTGCACCCTGGCTCCCTTGCTTTTTACCAACCCCTTCACTTTCGACCTTCACCTTACGCGCCTTCGGTTTGCCCGCTGCTTCGCCGCGCGCAGCGTCACCTGCCCCGCGTTTTCGGGAAGGGCGAGTCCGGCCCCCCTCCTTCCCTGTCCCACTCACCCGACCGCCACGCCCGCCCCGTCTCTTCCCTGGCGCCACATCCTCCTCCTCCTCCTCCTCCTCCTCCTCCTCCTCCTCCTCCTCCTCCTCCTCCTCCTCCTCCTCCTCCTCCTCCTCCTCCTTCTCTGATGCCTCCTCCTCCTCCTCCTCCTCCTCCTCCTCCTCCTCCTCCTCCTCCTCCTCCTCCTCCTCCTCCTCCTCCTCGTCACCCTGCTCCTCCTCCTCATCCCCCTCCTCCTCCTCCTCCTCCTCCTCCTCCTCCTCCTCCTCCTCCTCCTCCTCCTCCTCCTCCTCCTCCTCCTCCTCCTCCTCCTCCTCCTCGTCCTCCCCGCCATCATTCTCATCTTTAGCATCCTCCCCAACATCCGCGTCTTGCTCCTCCGCTTCCTCTTCATCCTCCTCTCCCTCCGCATCCTCCTCCTCATCCTCCTCCTCCTCCGTATCACCGGGGTCTTCATCGCCCCGTTTCGGCCTCGTTCCTGTCGCTGCTTTCTTGCCTCTCCTTCCGCCAGATGCTTTTCTTGCTGCGGGGCGGCCCTTCTGGCGCAATGCTTGACCGCCCGCCTTGCCACTAGCTTCCTTGGCGCCTCGCGGTGTGTCAACTTCCGCGCCTCCGGCGTTGTCAGCACTACCTGTCGTCTGGCGCCTCTTCGCCCGCGTGGTGAGGTCCCCGGGCACGGCGGTGTCATCATCCTCCTCCCCATCGCTCTTCCTTTGCCTACGCCTTCCCCGTCCACCAGAAGGAGGAGAGCCACCGACCAGCCCCACCGACTCGTGCTGTGCCACCTTGTCCTTATCCAGCACGGCTGCAGAAACTTCGACCACGCTCGGCTGGAGCAGCGTCAGATGGTGTTGCGTTGCCGCCTCCTCGGACTCCTTGGTTGCGGCATGCTCGGCGCGAGGATCGCCTCCGTGATTTCCCCCTGTCGCCGAACCCTCCATCTCCGCCGACGGGAGTGCAAGACTCGCGCTCCCTCGCCCCGGATCTTCGTTGCCGCCAGTGGTGCCGTCTTTACTCGGACCGGGCTCGGTTCCAGCAGAGGCACCATCCGCAGCTTTGTTCACTGTAGAAACACGCTTGCGTGGCGTTGGTTTAGGCCCCTTGTCTGCCGCTTTCTTGCCGGCCTCCTGTTGACCGCGCGCGACCTTTTTTGCCGCCGCTTTTTTCGGCCCAATGCCACGAGCGACGGACGCATTGTTTTTTTTAGCGCCGCCACCACTCTCCCTATCGATTTGTTTAGACGTCCCCCTTGTCGCGCGGCGGCCGGCCTGTTCCTCCTCCATTGCTTGGTTACGTGTTGCACGTGTCATGGTAATCGTAGGAAGAGCAAAGTGGCAAATCGCGCGGAAGGGTTGAGCCGGTTTCGAAAGGGTTTTGCTACTGAATCCCACGAAGGCATAATCGGCCGTCTATCACTGTTGTGTGTTTACGAAAACAGCCGCTTCAACTAAGTCTGAAATAGTAGCCACTATGCTTCGCGCTAAGGCCGATCTGGAGAGGCGTGTGTCAAGGCAACGAGCAGCGTCGAAGTGTTGGCCCAGGGAGTGACGGAAGCAGGTGGGTGGGGCACGAGGGTGGTTGGGGTGAGTTGCGAGACTAGAGAGAGAAATGTAACCCTATCAGGCTACATTGGACGGTGTACGTGTAGCCACCCTAGCATAAACCCACCTTCCGCTCGATCTCAGCCGCCCAATGGCTGAAGTACCTCTTGGCTGATGACTGTGTTGCGGGGGGAATCGTTTGAGATGCGTCGGCCAATGACGGTTGCCAACACATCAATCACAACAAAGGGTAAACCTGGTGTGAAACCTACAGTGCGAAATTAGTCAAATCCCTGCAAAGTACAGTGTTTTCGGTTGCAAAGTAACAACGCATTTCATCAAACTCTAAGTTGCAACTGGTTTTGTACGGGGTTGGGGTAAGTTAATCGGTGATTCTCACGTCACACACACAACGACCGTCTTGAATTATTACTTAGGAAAGATGTACTGCGCACTTTTAGGCTTTGCCACAATGGTTTAGGGCCAGCGGACGTCATTCTAACACGATTATCAATAATAACAAACGTGAATCCGTTGTGTTATGGTGTTGGATTGTCATCCATTCTTGCACAGACATTACACAAGGTGCTTAGAAGGAGTGGTATGAAGCACAGGCCCAACGCACAAGCGTAGATGCGTTATCGACAGTCATGTTTAGACTGTGCGACGATGCATCGTTCAGGCCTCCGCGTTGCGCGACTTGGTGAATCCGTTGTGGTATGGTGTTGGATTGTCATCCATTCTTGCACAGACATTCCACAAGGTGCTTAGAAGGAGTGGTATGAAGCGCAGGCCCAACGCACAAGCGTAGATGCGTTATCGACAGCCATGTTTAGACTGTGCGACGATGCATCGTTCAGGCCTCCGCGTTGCGCGACTTGGTGAATCCGTTGTGGTATGGTGTTGGATTGTCATCCATTCTTGCACAGACATTACACAAGGTGCTTAGAAGGAGTGGTATGAAGCGCAGGCCCAACGCACAAGCGTAGATGCGTTATCGACAGCCATGTTTAGACTGTGCGACGATGCATCGTTCAGGCCTCCGCGTTGCGCGACTTGGTGAATCCGTTGTGGTATGGTGTTGGATTGTCATCCATTCTTGCACAGACATTACACAAGGTGCTTAGAAGGAGTGGTATGAAGCGCAGGCCCAACGCACAAGCGTAGATGCGTTATCGACAGCCATGTTTAGACTGTGCGACGATGCATCGTTCAGGCCTCCGCGTTGCGCGACTTGGTGAATCCGTTGTGGTATGGTGTTGGTGTCAGAACTTATAGCTTACTTGTTTCTGTTGGCTATACTGGGGTATCCCATAGGGGGTACAACCCAATTAGGGTTTCCTATTTGTACTCACTTCGTTCATAGTCATTTCATTCTCGTTCTTTGTTTCCACATGGAATCAGAGCAGGTTCCCTCCTAGGGACTGCTTCTAGGGCCCACCGAACCGCGCCCCGAGGCGCGTTTTTTTTTTTTAGCGACCCGTCGTGTCGCCCCTAACGGACCGTTGCGCCGCCCTTCCCCTCGCGGCTCCGCCGCCCTTCCCTAGCGGCCCCGCCGCCCTTCGATCGCGGCCCCGCCGCCCTCTGCTACGCGGCCCCGCCGCCGCCCTTCGATCGCGGCCCCGCCGCCCTCGGCTACGCGGCCCCGCCGCCCTCTGCCTCGCGGCCCCGCCGCCCTCTGCTACGCGGCCCCGCCGCCCTCTGCTACGCGGCCCCGCCGCCCTCTGCTACGCGGCCCCGCCGCCCTTCGATCGCGGCCCCGCCGCCCTTTACCACGCGGCCCCGCCGCCCTCTGCTACGCGGCCCCGCCGCCCTCTGCTACGCGGCCCCGCCGCCCTTCGATCGCGGCCCCGCCGCCCTCTGCTACGCGGCCCCGCCGCCCTCTGCTACGCGGCCCCGCCGCCCCCTGCTACGCGGCCCCGCCGCTCTCTTCGGTCGCGGCCCCGCCGCCCTCTGCTACGCGGCCCCGCCGCCCTCTGCTACGCGGCCCCTCCGCCCTCTGCTACGCGGCCCCGCCGCTCTCTTCGGTCGCGGCCCCGCCGCCACTCTGCTACGCGGCCCCGCCGATCCGCCCAGCAGCAGCCGCCGCTGCCTGAGCCGCCGCCGAGCCGCCGCCGAGCCGTCGCCGAGCCGCCGCCGAGCCGCAGCCGAGCCGCCGCCGAGCCGCCGCCCGAGCCGCCGCCGAGCCGCCCGAGCCGCCGCCGAGCCGCCCGTGACGCCCGAGCCGCCCGCGCCGCCCAGCAGCAGCCGAGCCGCCGCCGAGCCGCCGCCGCCTGAGCCGCCGCCGAGCCGCCGCCGAGCCGCCGCCGAGCCGCCGCCGAGCCGCCGCCCGAGCCGCCGCCGAGCCGCCCGTGCCGCCCGAGCCGCCCGCGCCGCCCGAGCCGCCTGCGGAGCCGTGCTGCTGTTCCTCTGCTGCTGACCTACCCGCCTCTCCCAGCCCGGTGAGATTTTCAGCTGCTGTCATGGCCACCCCCAATGTTCTTACCTTTGACGCTGAGGGGAGGGCCATTGACTTTGCCGTCTGGATTGAAGACCTGCAGCTGTACTTACTGTGTGATGCGATAGATGAGGTCTCTCTCTTTGACTTTGTCTCTGGCGCTGTCCCTGCCCCACCTGCTGATGCTGACTCTGCCGTTCGCTCCAAGTGGGCGACCCGCGATGCTGCTGCACGTCTTGCTGTGCGTCGCCACCTCCCTTCCTCTGAGCGTGCCCACTTTAGTCAGTGCAAGACCGCTCAGGCCTTGTACGACGCTGTAGTTGCACGCTACTCCTCCCCTTCCTCCGCTACCCTTAGCCGCCTCATGCTACCGTTTCTCTTCCCTGACCTCGCTTCCTTTCCCACTGTCGCTGACCTCGTTACCCACCTCCGTGCTAGTGACACCCGCTACCGCGCTGCCCTTCCTGCTGAGTTCCGCGCTGCGAACCCTCCTCCCATGTACATCACTCTCTACTTTCTCGTCACCCGTCTCCCTGAGTCCCTTCGTGTCGTTAGGGACCAGTTTCTCTCTGTCTGTCCCACCACTCTCACTGTCGACCTCCTTGAGGAGTCCCTGCTAGCGGCTGAGAAGAGTATTGTCGCTGTAGGGGCCTCTAGGGGTGACCCTCGCACCCCCATCTTTGAGGGGTGTGGTCCTTCCCCCCTGCTGCCCTCTGTCGCCTCTGCCGCTGCGGCCGACCTCACTGGTTTTGAGTCGGTCGGCGCGGCGTCTGCCCCCAGCGGCAGACGCCGCGCTGGCAAGGGCAAGGGGGGCAAGGGAGCGGGTGGAGCTAGAGGGGGCGGTGGAGGAGGCGGTGGGGGTGGCGGGGGGAGTGGGGGTGGCGGTGGGGGTGGTGGCGGGAGTGGAGGTACTGGTGGCGGCGGTGGAGGCGGAGGTGGCGGTGGAGGTGGTAGCGGAGGAGGCGGTGGGAGCGGTGGGAGCGACGGTCCTGGTGGGGGAGGTGGAGGTGGAGACGGGGGTGGCGGTGGAGGCGGGGGTGGCAGTGGAGGCGGGGGTCGGAGTGGCTCGTCCCAGCGGAGCAGCTCCGGGGGTGGTCAGCGCCAGCAGCAGCAGCAGCAGCAGCCGCAGCAGCAGCCACAGCAGCAGCAGCGCTCTCGCACCGTCCCCGCCCCTCAGCAGCTCCGTGAGTGGTACTCGCAGCGTCAGCGTGGTGGTGCGCTTGGTCCTTGCCCCTACGTTCTCCGCACCGGTGACCGTGCAGGGGAGAGGTGTGGAGGCGCCCACACTGCCCGCCGCTGCTTTGGCCGCCTGACTGACGCCTGGCGTCAGCAGTTTCCGGAGGCAGCTGAGATCCCCCGCTGGGGAGAGCTGTCTAGGGCTGGTGTAGCTATTTATGATCTTGATTTTGATGCTATTCTCTCTGCTATGTATACTGCGATTGGTAGTGATGAGGATGACTGTTACAGGTGTTTCCCGCCCGACCCGGGCATTGGTACTGCCGCGTCAGGTACTAGTGAGGCTGCTGCTCTAGGTGCCAGTGCGTCTGTGCTCTCAGGTGCTGGTGAGTCTGCCCTCTCAGGTACTGTGTCGGCTTCGGCCTCTCACACCTTCACCCTTGACTCTGGAGCGTCTCGCTCCTTCTTTCGGGACCGCACCACTCTCACGCCGCTGAGTCGGCCGGTTGCGGTGTCCCTGGCTGACCCCTCTGGGGGGCCTGTCCTGTCTCGCTTCTCCACTGTCCTCCCGTGTCCGGCGGCCCCCTCTGGCACCCTGACTGGTCTTTACCTCCCCTCGTTCTCGACGAACTTGGTGAGTGGTGCTGACCTCCAGGATGCGGGTGTCCACCAGTTCACCCCTGCTCGTCAGCGGGTGACCCACTGCACGGAGGCGGATACAGGTCGCCACCTGGCTACGTTTACACGTCGGCCAGGGTCGAGCCTGTACACTCTGACCACTGCTTCT